GTTTTGATATTAAAAAACAGAAGATGAAAAACAATCTCATTATCAGATTGTCTTTTATGTGTTTATAGAGGGAAATCAGAAGTTAAATGACAACTTTAAGTTGGCTGTCAGGACAGAAGTCCCTGACAAGTCCCTGCTCAAAAAACCTTGTATCGTTCCAAACTGTGAAGTGTGAAGACAAAGCAGCAGCTATTTCAAACAAGACATCCCATTTTTTCTGTTTTGTTATAAAACCTGCATGCACCTTCATATCCCCCCCCCCGCCCCCAACACACACACACACACACACACACACACACAACCAAAAGTTAAGTCTGTAAAGCAGTAAAGCAACAGAAAACATCCCCTACTTATACGGCACATCAAAACTCACAACAACACTATTAACTGTCTCGTTTTGATGTTGCTAAATCGTAATGAGTATTAAACACTTCATTTCCTGCATTCTGGTGTTTTTCTGCACCAATTTCTGCCTTTTCTGCATTAATTTATTGTGGAAATTATTCATGTAAAGGGACACGCAAAATTCAGGTCTTGCTGAATTGTGGTGAGTATTTAAGAGCATTTTGACATTTTATGACCTTGTAAATGATTTTTTATTTCCATCTTAAATGTGCAATTGCACTACAGCCTGCCTCGGCCAGGACACTCTTGGAAAAAGAGTTTTTCTGATTTAATACAGGTATAATAAAACAATTTAAAATCTAAAACTGTAACAGAATATAATGCAGAGCAGCTCTCAGCTTTCAGATATGTTTCTCCTGTAGATCAACTTTTAATATCCTCACTGCTGAATCGACACACACGCAGACGTGACTGATTGAGGTAACTTCTTTAAATGCATGTGGCACCTCATCAATAATAAATTAAATCATTTTAATTCAGTTATAAACTCCTGGACTTTAATAGCTCCTGTGTTTCAGCAGGTTTTCTGCTCATGTTCAAAGTTCTGCACATTTAGAATCTAACTGGGTTCTCTGACATTTCCAGAATAAAGGATATTTTGAGAGGTCAAACAGGATAAATCATCATAAACCGCGGTCCACCTGCGTGCCGCACCGTGTGGAAGGGATCCATACCGCGTATTCTGCAACCCCTTGCACCACTACTATCCATGGAAGTGTGGGGATTTAATTCTTGCATGTTTTGTTGTCCACATGAGGAAAGGTCAAGATAGGCTATCACAGTAAAAATGTGTAGACCAGGCAACTTTATTGTTTTAAGTAGCCCATTAAAATATCCCTGCAGTGAAGAAGCTGATTATCTGTAATTTAGCTGTTTCCACAGTTGTTTTCCTTTTTAAATCTCCATAAAGATGTTTATAAGATCACTTTAAAATATCACTTTTGCTGCCCAGACAACTTTTGTTACCTGTGCCTTTTATTATGAAGATGAAGCCAACCAAACCTCTTGCTTTGCAGTAGCACATGCTGCAAATACAATGTGATTATTCCTGAAGCATCTAAATAATCTTCACAACGCAAAGAATTATTGTGGCAGTAACAGGAGAGCAGCTCATTGTTGAAGCAAGTAAAGCTGTGCGTCATGCGTAAAACCCAACAGGACTGTATTATCCACCATATTCTCTCCTCTCTCTGTACATCTGAAAGATAAAATTACAGCGGGTAGCTGCTGAGTGAAAGATCAGTTTCACCGTCGGACATCGCTATAAAACAGATAGTAACCGATGTGTATAAAAGAAACAGGCTACTGTCCAAAGCGATGCTCTGTTCAACAACAGGACACTTTTAATATATCTCAATCTGCAGTGATCGTCTGACATAGATGTTACAGTGTGTAGGCTAGTCTTCATTTGCTCTAAAGGCCAAAGATTAAAGACTAAAGGCGCTTTTAATTTTAATGGAAAGTGAAAGTTTTTCACTTGCCGGCTTGTTAAAGAGCGACACAGGCTGCTTTCCAACAGGCCACCAGTGCCATAGTGTGGCTCACTAGATTTCACTTGTATAAGTAGAACAATAAAGCCTTAAAATGAAAAGGTATTTGCCTGATTTTCTAAATGTTTACATCTGCCCAGCTCTGTGACTGTGACAAGCGCCCGACCAACGCTTTACTGCTTTACTGCAACTTTTCTTTCCCTCCCTCAACATTTTTCTACAGGCTCCATTTTGTCCGGGACTGATGTGGACTGTGTGAGTGATTGACTGGTCTCTTAGTAAACCGCCTCCTATATGAGCCAGGAAGGCAATGCGAATAAAACTTTACATTAGGAAAGAGGGGGAGACCAAACATAGATTTTAAAATGAAATATGTATAATGCCTCCTCTGCCAATCAGGTGATCAACCTCACCACAAATCCACACACGTTCATTTCAGCGCCTCTGATGAAGTGCAGCTCACAGCTTCAGGTGGAGCAGAGAGGACACAGAGTTACAGCTATAATCTTATTCTCTGCTCATGTGCAATAACAATAATCTCTCGCTCGCTCCTGCGCACGTAACGTTAGTTAAACGAGTAAAGTTCAATTTTCGGCCTTTTGTTGTTTGATTTTTAAAAACCCTTTTCAAAAAACAGGCTTTTCAAAAAACCGGATGCCCAGGGCTAAATTTGCCGCTGTGTCACAGTGTTGAAAAAACTCAGATTAAACACAGAGAAACCAGCTGGAATCATCGTTTCAGATCAAAGTACAGAAAACCATCTTACAGAGTTTTAAGCCTTACCCTGTATAACAGAAGTAGCACATTTTCCTGAAGTCACAGTTAATTATCTGAAACCGACGGTGTGTCAGATCATATTTCTGTCTCAGATTTTATATGAATATATGAAGTTTTAGTCGAGTTCACTCACCTGCTGAAAGTCTTGCTGTCTGTATACAAAGCTGATTAAAATGAAAGTAAAGAAGGTTCTTCATGGTGAGTGGGTGAGGCCTGAAAAACAACATGCCAGGTAAATAACTACCTACATGTTCTTCCTCATACCTGAAATAATGACTGTGATTATGTTTCATCAGCTGAAGAACTCAAACACATTTCCATGAAACCTTGACAGACGGCTCAGTGGAAGATTCACATTAAAGTGGTGGAACATGAAGTCTGTGTGCAGGAGGTCTCTCTTTATCAAGACAATAAAAACTAAACACAATGCAAATGTTATGTTTCTTTCAACTCTTGTGGTTGCACGGAGACATCCAGCTGATTAAAGACAACACAATGTAAAAACAAAGTCGGTCCAGACATTGAACCAGGCAGGCAGATGATAAAGTGTCCATATTTTACATCATTATACAAAATTACATTCCTGACAATTGACCCATGATATATTTCAAATCATGCAAGCATCAACACAACAAACAATCGAGAGGTGCAGATACTTTTAACAGAAACCTGCCATCACCTGAAAGATGACAAACGAAAACAAACATAACATTAAATCAGGAACATCCAGTCTCAACATTATGCAGAAAAACTAGTCCATGCACTTCTCGGCTGGATTACTGTAAGTCTTTATTATCAGGCTGCTCGAAAAAGTCAGCTGATCCAGAATGCTGCAGCACGTGTTCTGACAGGAACCAGGAAAAGAGATCATATTTCTCCTGTTTTAGCTTCTCTGCATTGGCTTCCAGTAAAATCCAGAATAGAATTTAAAATCATTCTTCTTACCTACAAAGCTCTTAATGGTCAGGCACCATCTTATCTTAAAGAGCTCATAGTACCTTACTACCCCACCAGAGCACTGCGCTCCCAGAATGCACCTGTGGTTCCTAGAGTCTCCAAAAGTAGACTAGGAGCCAGAGCGTTCAGCTATCAAGCTCCTCTCCTGTGGAACCAGGTTCCAGTTTGGGTTCAGGAGGCAGACACCATCTCCACATTTAAGAGTAGGCTTAAGACTTTCCTCTTTGATAAAGCTTATAGTTAGGGCTGGCTCAGGTGAGTCCTGAACCATCCCTTAGAGGGACGAGAAAGCACAAGACTACGGGAAAGGGAAGAAGTCGAGTTAGTAACATGTTATAATGAAATAAGACCTAATGCAGCAGCAGTTCTGAGCTCCTGCTGCCTCACCAATGACTTCCATTTGTTTCCAAACATTTATTTAAATAACTAACTAACAACAACTAGAGATGCTTTTCTACTTACAATAATAATCACACATGAGTAGACCTACAGAACAATGAGGACAACAGGCTGCATTTAAATTGAATCAACTAAACTTAACTAATACAATATATTACACTGGCAAATTTAATGTCTTAAAATTGCAAAGGGGGAAAAAAGTACACAGCTCTTACACAGAAGGGGTAACAGTAGTTTTGTCAGATTTATGAATACCTGATTTCAAAGAACTTCGCTTTGGCAACATTATTAAACCTAAACAGCCAATAAAGCACATTGAATTGAATTGAGATTGTGGAAGCTGAGAGAGTCAAGTCAGCGCTGCGCGGCGCCGCATTAAGTCAAACGCACCTTTTAACACAAGTCAGGACCTCTGGGCGCCTCAGCAGGGGGTAGAGGGACCTCTGCTGGCTGAGCTTCTACATAACAAGTATGAATAAATGGTAGGAAACTAAATTATACATTAAATAATAATAACTAAAATATTTAATTGCTATCCAAAGCCTCATGTCACTAGTTCACGGGATCTTAATCTGAGTTAACATGTCAGTAATAATTTTTTATAATGTTTTGTTCGCCCCAAAAGGCAAAGTAAATATGTTTTTTTTTAGCTTTAGGACTATAATCACCTTGTTAACATCATGGTACATGGACCTACTGTTATTGTGAATGTTTTACACGTCACTTCCGCTTCAAAGACAGGAATAGACCACGCGACTTTATTCTTTAATTTTAAAAAAAGTTGTTTTTTCCCCCCGTTTTTAAACAAATTACAGATTTCTTTATGTTTTGAATAACGTAGCCTATAAATAACGGATTATGAGACGCAGACCGGTGATTACCGGTATTCCTGGTGTCTCCTTCTTATTGACAGCAGCTATTGTTGCTGCCTGTGACGATGACAGCTCACCGTGAGACGAGGGGGGCAGGCTGTGGAGAAACGGGGGCGTTTCCTTGAGCTGTTCTTACCTTTGCAGCTACGTTTCACCTGTCAGGCTGAAACTCCCAGACTGTCGCGACTGAAGACTGGACTCAGGATCATGGAGTCTCCGGTGAAGGATTCCCCCGTCAGACCGGGTTTTCACAGACTGGAGATCCAGAAAACGACGTGGGACGTTCCCGAGAGATACACGGTGCTGCGGTCGATTGGCGCCGGAGCCTACGGGACAGTGTGGTGAGTTTACCCGGGGAGGGGCCACAAGACCTCGAGTATACTGAGGGGAAAGTGCCGCAGTATTCTGCACAGCAAAGTGAAAGGGATCTGGGCCATTTGGTCTAATACTGTACAATTACAATAAAATACTGTAGGTCTACATAAAACAGATTTAAATACTGTAGAAATACATTAAAGAAGGGTCAAACTATCAACTTGGAAATTATTAAATTATTATTAAATTTTATTTTAGATAATAAAGCACATTCAAGTAATTACCCACCTCCATCATAAATGATCATTTAAGCAGTAGTAACACAGGTAAACACCATCAAATGTGTGATAATATAGTGATGCGGGTTTGTAAATAGTCAATGGTGTTTGCCTTTGTTGCTTTACAAATATCACTAAATGATTTTCTATATGGCGTCTACATTTCTGTAGACTTTGGTCTGCATTCCTCTCCCAGACTACAAGACATCTGCTAACAGAAGCACTATTGTCCGCCTGAGGCGAGTCAGCGTGTCAATACAGGTCCTCTGATGGGACAACACTTCCTCCACCAGCATGGAGAAACCCCGCCTACAACAATCCAAGATATCTCAGACACAGGTCTATTTAAAGATAAACCGCTAACAGAGAAGCTCTTAATACAGATATTATTACAGTTGGTCAGAATATAACAGATGTGACATCAGCCCTGAATACGTTTCTCACTAGCTTGTTGTTTTTTTTCTTTAAGAAGTACAAGAATTTTAAAACAGGATGCATCAATATTATTAAGATCAGTCATTTCCAACATGAAGAAAGGCGTCATGGGCTCCTGTGGCTCAGGAGGTAGAGTGGGCTGTCAACTATTCATAAGATAGGCGGTTTGATCTCTGGCTCTTCTGCGTGTCAGAGTGTCCTTGGGCAAAATTGTTCCCCGTGGTCTTTCAGTGTGTGAATGTGAGTTTCTGTTCCTGGTGAAAGTTCTTCAAGTGGTCATAAGACTACAGCTGCAGTCCATTTACCATCATCTGCTTTATATGGAACATATAATATATATATTCTCTACCATATGATCGTAAAAGGCCTTGTATGAAACTTTTTTACTAGGCAGCAGTGGTGGACAAAGTACACAAATATACTTGGGTAAAAGTTCAGATACCCTTGCTAATTATTACTACATTGAAAGTAGATGTCTGCAAATTAAATTTCCTGTCGAGTCAGTAAACAAAAGTACCTTTCTTTAAAAATACTGATGTATCAAAAGTAAGAAGTGATATTAGTCTGTGTCTGCTGACATGACAAACAGAATTTTAAAACAGACTTTCAAACTTTCCTATTTATTAAACAGTGGCGTTCATTCTAAACAGGTTACCTTTTCAATAACAATTCAAGTTTATCAGGGCCGGTATTTATCAAGCTTCTCAAAGGGCCATTTTAGTCTTAAGTGCTGAGAATTCATGAAATTTACTCCTAGTTTTAAACTTAATTAATTATAAAAGCAAGTTATCAAATGTCTTAAAGCTAAGAATCACTCTTACTCTCCCAGTTATTTACTTTCACTTTATTCACTTTATTATCTATCTGCATGGAAGACGGATCTTCAGCTGGACATCTCTGCAGAGGACTGGGAGTAGGAACGCCTTCTGGCCCAAACCTAAACATTAAATACCATTTATATATATATATATTTATAAGTTGTGTGTTTCTTAGTGTTTTTTCTATTGAAGCTTAAATTATGTTTATTTCATTTACACCCTGAAGATTTTCTAGTTAATGTTAACAGACAGAGCTGGTTACCACAAGAGGAGAGACTCTGCTCCCAGTGGGACAGAGGACACGTAGAGACAGAGCTGCACTTCATGCCCCAAATATAAAACACAAAGACAAAAACACTTCACATTTCACAAATATACCCCAAATTCAAATTTATATCAGACTCACAGAAACTCCCCTATTTAGTGGGAGAAATGCCCAAATGTCAAATAATTGCTGAAAATATATCTTCTCATGCCAAAATGAGGACAACTAGTGGAACCTCAGACTTCAAATTATTATTATTATGATTGCTTGATATTTTAGTAATTGTTTTGTTTTTACATTTGATACTGATTTTACTGAATTATGATCATTATTATTTTTTAATCAATTCATTCATTTTTGTCTATTAATACACACACACACACACACTCACTTACTGTTTTATTTATTTATTTTATTTAAATTTTTCATATATTTTTAATTTTTTAACACACACACATGCTTACTGTTTTATTTATTTATATTAATTTTTAATATATTTTTATTTTTTAACACACACACACACGCTTACTGTTTTATTTATTTATATTAATTTTTAATATATTTTTATTTTTTAAACACACACACACGCTTACTGTTTTATTTATTTATTTTATTTTTATTTTTAATATATATTTTCTTTAACACAAACACACACGCTTTAATTACTTAATGCTTTAATTACTTGTTTAATGAAATGGACGGGGTTGATTGTTCTTCTGTAGTTTGTATGATGCTTTGGCAATATTGTTGTTACACATTCATGCCAATAAAGCTAATTTGAATTATATTGAATTGAATTGATAAATTGGGTCCGAACAGGGAGAGAGAATATTATGATTGACTGAACAGTAAACTTCTGATTTTGTCTGTGTGTGTGAATTTATATATGTGTATCAATTAATCCCATTAATTGATTATTTTATTTCCCACTTAGTTCTGCTACTGACCAGAAGACCAAGGAGAAGGTTGCCATCAAGAAGCTGCATCGTCCTTTCCAGTCCCTCATCCACGCCAAACGGGCCTACAGGGAACTCAGGCTGCTCCGCCACATACAGCACGAAAATGTAAGTATTTACGTTTACATTTACTCGTTTGGCAGACGCTTTTATCCAAAGCAACTTACATTTTAGGAACAACATACAAGCATCATGAAGTAAGAGATCTACGAGTAACAGCAAGAAAAAGTAAAAGCTGAGTTAGAGAGGGACGCCGCTGCTCTGATGGCGTGTGGTAGCTCGCTCAACCATCGTGGTGCCACCGATGAGAACAGGGACGGAGATTGCTTAGTGTGTAGGGATGGCAGGCGCTCGTTCGTCGAGAAGGAACCTAAGCTTGGAGTTTAGGTAGATGGTGCAGACCCAGTAGTAGCTCTGTGTGCAGCATTAGTGACTTGAATCTGATTCTGGAGGCCCCGGGGAGCCGGTGCAGGTCACTGAGTAATGGAGTGACATGAGTCCTTTTGGGCTGATCAAAAACCAGACACGCTGCTGCGTTCTGAACCATTTGTAACAAGCTGGAAGACCTGCTAGGAGGGCATTACCATAGTTACGGCGAGTGATAACCATGGCCTGTACCAGAAGCTGGGTGTCGTACTGAGTGAGGTAGCAAGATTTGAGACTGTGATACCTTAGAAACAGAGTTCCAGGAGCCACAGAGACTTTGCAAACATGACATGCATACCAGATCCAACTCCAGGGTTGTGCAGGTTACAGACTCTGACCTCTGACCTCTTGACAGATGTAGTGTTTGATAGATATATTGTAGTAACAGACGTGTCGTTTGATAACGTGTTCATTATGTTTTTCCTTTAAGGTGATCTCCCTCATTGACGTCTTCACACCTGACGCCACACTGGAAAAATTCCAAACCTTGTGAGCTGGGATTCAGAAACCACATTCCTCTGCTAGTTGTCTCTGCTTGTTGAGACCCTGTGTGCATGTGTGTGCATGTATGAAAAGCTCAAGCGGGGATTTGAGAGGTTGTTATGTTGTTTTAGATGGTTTGTGCAGTTGTATTTCCTCACCACAGCAATGAGCTCTTTGACATCATCCAAAGTATTTAGGCCCACTTTATGTCCCTCACCTATTTGCTGATCTTTGTCTCTGTCGTTCTCTCTAGTTATATGGTAATGCCATTTGTAGCCCAGGATCTGGGCAACATTATGAAGCGGCGGAGATTAACTGATCGCGTCATCACGTACCTGTTCTACCAGCTTCTAAGAGGGCTCAAGGTAAGAGTGTGTTTATTTACATGAATCCTAAGATACGTTATAAAACCAATGTGAGCGCAACAGATCCAAGAGCAGACCCGGTTGCGGGAGTTTGATTCCATAGAGAAGATTTATTGAACTGTAAACAGAAAGGTGACATGTTGAAATCCTGAAGGGCAGCGGCAGAGAGCGGACAGGCAGGTGGGGAAGTTCCACGAAACAGAACGGGCAGGCTGAGCTTCCACGTGCAGAGACAACCAACACACATGTTTACATACTCGTTGCAGCTGATTGGGTAATACCTCTGACACACCCACCAAACAGGAGAACAAATATCTCGAAGCCCATCTTACACAGTTTTGAGGAAACATTGCTCAAGCAGAAAGTGTAAATAACTTGAGATTGAAATCTCCCCGGGGGTTTCAGAGGTTGACTGTGGAAAAGAATTCAGGTGAGGCAGGAATCTCCAGGCGATCTTACTGATCGCACCGCCACGCCCGCACATACAAACAGGAACAAGACAAACACTGGAGCAGAAAATGCAAGAAACACTAGGAGCAGCCAGATCATGACGTGTGTAATACAGACAATAAAACTACAAAAGAAATTTCTGTTAAAAACTTTGAAACAGCTGAAGTAAAAAGGAGTTCAAGATTCAGTTGAAATAAAAAGCAACATTCTGCAACACCTCGCTGTTTGATCAACTCAAACTCAGAGCCACTCAGAAAAAACCCTTGTAAGAAACTGTAGAAACTTCAAATAAAAACAGACAATAATCTCCCACAACCAGCCCAAGAACTCTAGCTGTTAGACATCAACTCCTGGATGCATCTTCTCAACGTCCCGTAACTACAAACAACAAATTTTACACAGAGTTCACCCCAGCCAATATTAATTACACATAAAGATGTGCCAGACGACGACTAAACAGATACAGAACAGATAAATAGATTAGCTCCATGCCGCCTTCCAGTCCCCCCATCTGTACGTGTGCTCGGAAATCTTTCATCAGTTGAACTGCTGCTGAAATATGAACAAACCACACTGGTTTCCTTAACAATCGCTAAACTGGAAATCTAAAACAAATACCCATCAACATCAGTGACACCTTCTATTATCTGAATACACATTAACACAAATCACATTTAAAGAACAACCAAAGAGATTCATTTCACATATGCTGGAGCCCATTTATCAACATGAGTTGCAACACAAAGCAGCGTATACGCATAGTCTGATAACCACCTCCCGCTTCTGCCGGTGACACCGGATGAAGGGGGTTATTTTACTCTCTTCTCCCATTCAGATAATCACACGCGTACCATAACAGATTTCTCTGAAACACTCATTAAAACATCAAAGTAACTGATGATCTCGCTATCATTATTATATTTATTATGACTGTTTCATCCTTGTTTGTGTTGTTTTTTATACCTACCAGGTCAAGTTCAGTTTACCGCCCTTTTGTTTGTCTGTCGTCAGGTATTTTATCCCCGTTTCGATCATGGTTGTATCTGTAAAGTCACTTCTGTTTTGTTTCGGCACCAACAAAATAGAAGATGATTTAATTGAAGTTGAAGCAGTGAGAGAAACTGAAATCATCAACTGATAAATTAATAATAGTTCTGGCGTCTGGTTTATTTTCTCTGCGCATCGTGAGCGAATCTGGGGAAAAAAAAACACACTGTAAATCTGTTATAATGATTTAAATGATATATGAAAATATGAAATATGAGGGCAGATATGAAATTGCAACATCTACTCTCCCACTATAATTACTACAAACAGTATTACTGCAGTATTACATACTTATTCCACATATTTGTCAGTTGTATCTAAATAGAGAGCGAGAAAGAGACGAGATTGTTGACAAGCGGAGAGAAATTCCCTTCTGGTGTGAACAGCCAGGCGAGAACTGACTGACCGCGGTGACAGAGTCTGTACTGTAAATAGTGTTAGGTTGTGTCTAAGCAGTTAAACTCCAGTTAAAATGTCACTTTCATTTTTTGCTGCTTATCTGGTTCCACGACTATGCGCTGAAGTAAAAACGCTACTCACAGACTAATGTCAGCTGCAAACGTTTTTGATCCCCCTTGTTATTTGCGTAAGTATTAAGTTAAGCCCTCCGCTGGGCTGTGAGGTTTGCTCTGAGAGCTGAAAAACACACAAAGCTTAGCCCTCACAAACAGCGGCGGGTGGAGACTTTGTGACGCGTAAAGATATATTTTTTGATCCACAGAGGTCCAGACATGCCATAACGAGGAAATGCTCTGCTAAACTTAGTGTATGTGCAGTATGTCTCTGCTGTTTTACACTGTGTGCTTAAATATATGTTCTCCTTCTTTACAGTATATCCATTCTGCAGGGATCATTCATCGGGTTGGTATTTGAACCTTATACACACCCCTCGCTGCACGTGTCTCACTCACAATCACTGTGTGTTTACCTGAGTTCTACATCTGAAGGAATAGTGTGACATTTTTGAAAATACGCTTATTTGCAGAGTTAAGTTGAATCACCCAATGACCTGGCTTGATGCACAGTTCCACACAACTTAGATGAAAAGATTGACAGCACTTCTTAAACATGAAGCTGTAGTTCTGCATGTAGAAGCGAGCTAGCTGTTGATGGTCAGTAAATACCTCCACTGTACTGTAGGATTTTTGCTTGTTAGCCACATTATCCTGATTTCTGTTAAGTACAGAAGGTGTGTTGAGAGGTTGTGGAGGCTTTGGAGTTGTTTAAAGGCCGTGCAGGGCTTTTGCTATTAATTACATTACATTGACTGTGTGCATTACAGGTGCTGGTAGGTGGGTTTTGTTACCTTTGGCCAGGGATAGCTTCTCTATCTGGCTGCTGACTGTAGCTTCATATTTACCGTGATTTCACTCTTTTCATCCATTATTGAGTGTCGAACTGTTGCTTTAACTATTTTGTATTTAGTAGAAGTCATGATCGGCTTTGTGCTGTTAACAAACCTCATGTGGTTTGATTTTAGGACCTGAAGCCCGGTAACCTTGCTGTGAATGAGAACTGTGAATTAAAGGTATGTTATTTAAAAAAAAAAAATGAATCAAAACAAAAAAAGTTGTAGACCAGATTGTTCAGGTCACATTAGTTTCATGAGTGACTGCACCATTATTTGTATCTGTCTACAAATACCAGATTCAGAGTTGAGCTTCATACTTATCTGTACCGAGGGTTCGAGTTATAATCCGAGCTTCGTGGGGGTCTCTAATATACTAACGTTACCATCAGAGAGAGAGAGACATTATTGCTTATTACGTGAGTCAACATTTCCCTCACGCACACACACACAGCAGTCCACCACTTGCCCCAGTAAGTACGCATATTATCATATGTAGCGCTGTACTAATTGTAGGATGCATCAAAAAGCCAATAATACTAAATAAATAAGCAGCAGTTAACACAGAGTCTAATACGGTCCAATACAACCGAGTTCATCAGGTCGCAGCCTCAACCTGTCAAAACTGTGCGCCCACGTAACTCGAACCCTGTCTGTACCAGATATATGTCAGCCATGTACTCGCTCAACCCTAGTAATTTACATTTTCATTTCATTTATTCATTTAGATGTCACTTTTATTCAAAGCCACTTACAGTTGCTAAGTATGTCAGAGGTCGCACGCCTCTGGAGCAACCAGGGGTTAAGTGTCTTGCTCAGGGACACAATGGTGGATGTCTCACAGCGGGGATTTTACCTTTTAGACATTTAACTCACCCTTTTCCTCATAACTTAATGTGCAAGAAATTCAGCAAATGCAACAAAAATTGAAAATTAATTAAGTTTCTGCTTCTGCTTGGTGAACCTAACTATTCTCAGATCCTGGACTTCGGCCTGGCGAGACAGACAGAGAGTGAAATGACTGGTTATGTTGTGACGCGCTGGTACAGATCACCAGAGATCATATTCAACTGGATGCACTACAGTCAGACAGGTAATCATTTTAACTTCCTTTAATACAAATAGTTATTTTCAGTTTGTTAAAAATGTAAGGGCATACCCCAACATGCTACGACGCAGTATTACATTTTAGTTTTTTTAATTCTCTCTCCCTCACAGTGGATGTCTGGTCGGCCGCCTGCATCCTGGCTGAGATGATTACTGGCAAGGTGCTTTTCCCAGGACAAGACAGTATCCTCACTGCATTGGAATAAAACTGTATATGCTCAATTACAGAAACCAGAAACTCGTACTGTAACGTGCATTTTTGATGTTTAAAATATAGAACATTTTGGTGCATCAATTCTAAAGTCTAAAAGGAGTACTCCAAATATTTCACACATGAGGGTCAGTTTAATTGTCCTGAGAAGCACAACTCAGAACAGTTGTATGTTTCTGGATCTCTCAGGGGAGAAAATTATAAGATTATATTATCTAGGGTTGTCTCAGCTAAGGTTTGGGATCTTGCCTGCATTACAAAGTTAAAGAAATGTTGATGGCCAAACAAAATTACTATTTGTTGTATTATGCAAAATGTAGTAGCCAATATTTTTGGAGCTTGGGATTAAAAGTCAGGATGTATATCAGCCTAAACTGCTTCAATTCTGACCACTCTTTTTTAAATACGTCTCTTGAGAGTTCCCCATTTTGTTGAAGTGCAGTACTAAATTGCTCGAGTGTTAGTCAGTTATTACTGACCCACAATGTTTTCTTGCCTCCAGTGTTTGAAAAATTCACCAAACCAAAACCTCAACTACAAATAGTACAGAGGAAATCTGATACAATGTCAGTATCATTGTAAATGCACAGAGAGACAAAACACAATCCACAAACACTCCATGCTCTACAAATATAAAAGATGATCTACAAATAGATTTAAAATCCACAAACTCGCCATGACAAACAGAAATCAGTGACTTCCTTGAAAACCAGTATTTGTAGAGCCCTATGAAATCTGTAAAAAAAAGATTGTTTTATTTTGTCCTACATTCCCTGTCCATCCGGCCGAATGGCCACTCATATTACTGTGGAAGCACATGCACATGATTTCCAACCCCTACAATTGCAAGTGGCTTTGAATGAAAGAGTAAATGTAAAGTATACAGTGTGTGCTGTGCATAATGAGGCTTCCTTAACCAGCCTGTTCAGGCATTGATCAGCTGAAGAAGATCCTTAATGTGACGGGAACACCAGACTTCTCCCTGGTTCAGAAGATGCAGAGTAAAGATGTAAGTTCTGTCTACAAGCTTTCCACTTTTCATATTTTGTTATTTAAGCCAACTTATAAACATAGTTTATATTTGTTTTCTATGTATTCTAACCTCATGCTATGGATTTACTTTGACCACTTTTAACTGTTTTCCAGGCACAGTCGTATGTGCAAGGTCTTCCTCCTCAAAGGAAGAAAAACTTCAAAGAAGTGTTTCCGTCCATGGATGAAAATGGTGCGCTGAACTGCTTCTACTTCTTCTTCACATTGAAATTCAGAACAATATTTAAATTTAATAAAAAATTCCAATTTATTTTGAATCATCTCTCATGTCTCTGCCACATTGTCTCTACCAAGGTGAACCATCTCGCCCCAGACAGACAGCTTCATGTCCAAGTAACTGCAGATAAAATAAAAAAATAATGTGTCTTTTCTTTCTGTGTGCTTCCAGCTGTAGACCTCCTGGAGAAGATGCTGATGCTGGACCCAGAGACGAGGCTGACAGCTAAGCAGGGACTGTCGCATCCCTTCCTGGCTGAATATCATGATCCAGAGAGCGAGCCAGACTCTGAGCTTTATGACGACTCCTTCGAGAGCATGGAGCTCGCCGTCGGGGAGTGGAAGAGTGAGTCTGATTACAGAGAAGAGGCTGGAGGAGTTTTATAACGCACACATGAAGCCAAAAACACAATAACTTATTTCAATTCATGTAAAGTTTTCATGTGAATTAAAAATGCTTGGTGTGAATCCACACTTTATATATTTAATCCCGCTCTCCTTTTTTATCCAATCAGGTCTTATCCACATGGAGATCATGACCTTTGACCCCGACAACCCCAGTTTGACAGCCATATAGGACGCTTTGAGGTGCTGGTGCTGTTTGTTTGTATCCTGTCAAGCGCAGAGAAACAAATACAAAACACATAAAAATATTCATGTCTTTTGTTGGAGCGTCTGACATGTATTGCAATTAAAAAGGTGCATTACTCACGGGCGGCTTTATTTGGTGTGGTGGCCTGTGCAGTAGATGAGCACCAAAAACGCTGAATTATAAAACGCTGTCCTCTCATTTCAAAAACTGCATAATGTGTTTACAAAATTCTCTTAAGTCAAGCTCCATTTATTACATTTTTTTCTGAGCCTATCGACTGCATCTCATAGTTTCAGCAGAACATCAACATTTTTTCTTTAAAATTTCAGAGGCTCGATCCACCCAGTGATGAAAACCATGAGAGGATGCTAAAGGCTATGAATAAAGTAATAAATTGATCTTGAGTTAAGATCATTTTCCAAAACTTATATTTCAAAAGGTCAAGGATAAACTTTCAACCTTTACAAAATAGAAATTTTACTGAGTGCTGCAAATGGTAAAATAAATGTGTCAAAATATCAGTATTACAAATACATTTTAATAAATGTGAGCGATACACAAGAACAGACTCAGATTGTGTGTGTGTGTGTGTTTTCCTTGTAGAACATATAGGAACATAAGATAGATGACCCTGGCTCTTCATAAAAATGTTTTTGTGTTACATATTCATATTAATAATGTAAATGGTACAAAATGCAACTTCACTTAACATACGTCTAGCAAAGATTCTCTGAAGAGGAAGGAGATTTGAGGTTGATAGTGGTGGAAAACAAACAGTGTGTCTCTTAAATATTTTAAACACACACAGGATAAATGGACAAAATACTGTACGATACTACGATCCCACAATTATTCAGAAATAAACATGATTACTGAATTTAGCATATTAGTGTCATATTATTCGAGACATTGGATATTATTCTTATTGATGGCTTTTCAGCTTTGTTTGCACAAACGGCCGGTGCTTGGACGTTGCACCTGAACGCCACGTTTTCTCCAGTTCACCAGTTTATTAATACTGTCAAAGCCAGCGTTCATCTTCTGCAATGCAGATTGCTCTGCTGCTCCAGTTGTAGCTGAAATGAGCCTTTAACTGGTTGCATTTGAAGAAGAACCTCCAGCCTGTCACATACTGAGTGGTGAGTCAGAGGAAACGTGATGGGTTGTGGAGAAATTAGTCTGACGTAAAGGGCACCTTTACTTATCCAGGACTTTTGATAACGGCCACCAGGAGGAAGTAGCGCTCAGCCAAGATCAACAGAGCTGCATCCTTCATGAAACGTGAAGACAGACGGCCTGCAGAGACTTAACTAGGTGCATTCACTCAAGTTCAGTAGTTTTAGATTTAATTTCACTTTGATACACCAACACCAACACCACACTGGACAGTCGGTTAAACATTTGGGATGACGCCTCCCCTCCTCTTTATTGTGGTCAAATAACTTCTTCTTTGTTTCATGTCCGATAGTGACTTTAGTTTTTCCCAGAGAGGAGAAGAAGAACTGCACAGCACAATCATTCTAATCAGTAATTAGTTGGCCGAGACCACTTAGGTGGTCATGTAAAATAAGAGATATTTATATAAAACAAACACAATACAACAATAGAACACACACCACCCTTTTATCTCCACCTCCTGCTGAGGACACAACCAGCCAGTGGTGAGTGCTGCAATTGTTTGAAACTAATTTGCTGGCTTTAGCTAAAAAAAGCGTAGAAACCACCAAATATTATGCCCTGAACTACTGATCGAGGTTTCTTTGTACATAAAGAGGATGGCATCCTCCCCTGTGCTTCCCCAACGCCCTCTGGATCTACTACAGCAAAGAAGGTTACCAAATGTTTAACAACCTACACATGTGAACTGTTTTGTGTCATTTATACCTCCTTAAATCCAAATGAAACACTTAAGGTAATAAAAACTCCAAATCTCCATCACAAACAGCAAATGTTATTTATCTGTTCACGCAGCTTGTCAAAAATAACCATTCATGCATAACTAGTTGAACATTTTTGAAGTTTGCTGTAGCACGTCAAACTTTTTAATGTCCTGCCCCATTCAAGCTGTGATTGGTTATATCCCACAAAGTGATGAGCATGTTTATGCAAAAGTTTAGATTTTAAAAGCACCTGATCTTCCCTGAATCTATCAATTTGGGTAGAGCGCTGGTCTGCAGACATCATCCAGCTATCGGGAGGTGGACATGCTCCAACTGTCCTACACAAACGGCAGGGGACATCATCATGTGGCGTGTTTTGTGTGCAAGGTAAAGCAGCTCACTCAGTGCTTACAGCTGTGGAATTGAGCTTTTAACTGTGTGTGTGGTCGTATGGTGACAAAACCTCGGCCTTATGGGATGAATCCTACATTTTAAATGACGAATCGTGTCACATGATGAGTTGCAGATTCTGTAATGGGATGAATGCAGTTTTAATGAAGACAAAAATAATGTAATTGTAATTTCAGTAAGAAATTGCATTACACCTATGACGGTTAGGCATTTGAAATCTGAAAATCAGTGTTTTTACAGCCAGAGAAGCAGTCAAACCCTCAGACTAAATGTGTTTTATGACTCTGGAACTGGGCCCCATAACGGGAATCTGTTTTTGTTTGCACTATAGATTTTGAAAACAAAGCGGTGTGCTTTGGGGTCAAACTGCGTCGACGGTTTTGTGAAATTCAGACAACCAGAATATTAAAACTGCGCTGCCTGTCAGTTTCCATATGACTCTACCATTTTTTTTGAAATGGGTGCAAGGGAAACTGCTGATTTTGACTAAAACATACCTTTAGTCTCAGTGTGTCGGGTCATGAAATAGTGGAAAGCCTTTTTTTTTTTTTTTTTTTTTTGACTGAAAATACTGAAATGTATTTAGAAAAAATGTTACAACATTACTTATTCTTGCTGGCAGCCATTGTATCAATCTTGTTGAAGGTCTCTTTGTGATTCACTGTTACCTGTCAATAAAAACAAATGAAAGTAAAGGCAAATGTTTCTATAAAGGGTCCCTTACGTTATTTAATGATGAAGCAAAGACACCTGAATATCTCAGGTTCAGAATAGATTCGTTTTCTGATCGGTCAGTTGTGCCCAAGAAGTAAATAAAAAATCTTAACACCTCAGAAGAAACCTGTTTATTTGAAACTATGCATCCTCCTCCATCCTCCATCTCCTCCTCCAGACTTTATTTTAACATGCAAGATAACTTTTAAATTATTGAAAGCAAAGATCCCTTTTGAAAGAAGGCGACAGTGGTTAAAATATTTGCTGATAAAAAGGTTTGTGTAACAAAGATGCTTCAAGAAAACAGACTTTTTAATTATAGGGCTGCAGTGTTTCATTAAACCTTTTTGAAATGTGTTAGCTCGCTAACTTTAATCCTATATTTTTTAACTGTAGCCTCAGTTATGGGAACTGGACCCACAATCACAACTCTGAGGCAGCGCTGGCAACATGAGACAGAGTAATCTGGATACATAGGATGTTGGTCACAGGAAAATGATTTGAGAACCTCAAGTGCAAAACAAGAAGTTTACTGTAGGCAAACAGACTATCTGAACATGGAGTGCAGGGCCGGGGTCGGTGCTGAGTGATGAGCAGGTATGCAGGAGACTGGCAGCAGGAGTGGATCGCCACACCCAGATGAACACTTCGAGGGAACAAGAGGGAAGTAGCCCTACTGCTGGACTATAACACACTCAGAACATGGTGAGGGGTGGTGTCCACAACTACGCTGACAGAGGACCGTGATACATGTGTTCCAGCAGCGTCTTCATATCACAGCAGACCTGTTTTTTGATATTTTATTACATCCAAACCATTAAAATCCCCAAACTGCTTCAACAGAAATGTCCATACAAGCGTATAAATGCCTCGAGTGTTTAATTTGACCACGACAACATTGAAATGCATATATAACAAATACCAATAACTGAACCCAGAAATAACCACCTGCATGTGTAACACAAAGTGCTGCACTCATCAGAACAGGATAGAGCATCGAGTCTCATACCAGACAAGTCCAAGTCCCCTATCTAGCTTGAGTTTTCAGTCTTACAGTAAACCTGACGTGGATTATTAAAGGTAAATAATTAAACCTGACATACTTTAACTTGCCCTGTCAGTTAAAAAGCCTCTGTCAGTTATGTAAGATCATAACGTTGGCCGCCTGCTGCTGCAGTCGACTCTGGTATTTATGAGCCGGAGGCGGCCACCTGGATTTCAAGAGGCTGCTGATGCATGTTGGGACATTTTCTGAGTTTCTGGAGTCTCGTGGGTCCTGAGCAGTAATTATCTACGAGCGTTTCTTCGGGTTTTGGCGGCTTCACAAACAAGTACATTGTGAAGGTGAAGAAAATTTCCTTACAGTTCATTTCAGCCACAGTCACTTACATTTTCCAGCAGTTGTACCCCAGCAGTTGTACCTTTTCATCACTTTTTAAGTGATGTTGTTGACACTCGAGTCAAGACAAGTTAATTTAACTAGTGGTGATTTCTGATGCAGTAGTTGTGTTTAGATTAGGTGAACTTCTGAGGTTAAGCCTTTTATGATTCAGGACAACACTGTTCTCTACAGTATGTTATGTTTTAGGTATTTTAAGAATAGTTTTTACTAGAGTACTTTATGCGATCCAACATTAGACAACGGTGATTAAAAAGTGTAATTTCATTTTCAATTATTATCTGACATAATGTTCCTTTTCTGTTTGGTAGGTTATTTTGCCAAATATCAGCTGATCCAGTGTAGAACTTGACAAAACAGTCGACTAGTCTATTATTAAAATTAATTGGTAATGATGTACTAATCAGTTATCATAGACCAGACAATCAGTTAATCAGTGAAATGATCAGCAGATTAACAGACAGCAACATTTGCAGCTCTAATCCAGTGATGTGTTTGTCCTTTCAGCAGCTGTTTTTTCCTGAAGCTCAAAGAAACATGTTGATTTACAGTAAGTTATTATTAAAATCTACTAAAACGTCCTGTTCAGCTGCAAACATTTCATTTAGACTCGTTATTTTTCTACCTCCTTTTAATGCCACAGACAGAGCCCTGATTGCCTCGGTTGTTTTCCAACTCAGGATTCGGACATCAGTGAATGCAACACCAGAACGTGTTGCTGAAAAATGTTCAGGCTGCTGTGGGAACTTCTGACGGTCAGCTATGATTTTAGGATTAGGGCTCAGCGTTTGTTCATTGTGTAAATATGCCTGAGTCTGTTTTTGAGTTTATGCTCATTTTGTAAATTTGAGCCTGCTAGCGAACACAGTTTCCACCCCTGGATAACAGATCCAGATGTTTTTCCTTCAAGTTTGAGTTTCTTAATGAGGAATATGGAGCAGAATGAGGTGCAGCTGGGGTTTAAAGTGTTAAAGGTCCTGAAACCTGTGGATTTATGGATCTCTCCCTCCTGCAGCTCCGCAGGGTTTTACATGTTTACATGTTCATCACATCTGGGGTCAGGAGGCCCTGCGTGCCTGCAGCGGCGGGACAGGCGTCTGCATGTCTGCTGTCAGGACGGACACATAAATACCTGGTCGTCCAGATGCTGCCTTCACTGTCGGACTGTCTGCAGGTGGAAGACAGAAGAGGAAGCTGAGAGACGCCAACATGGTCCCACTGAGGCTGGTCGCCTTCGGCTGTGAGTGTCCTCTCTGCTTTAGGCAGATTTAACGTTTCTTAACCCTTCTTTTGGTTCGTGTTGTTGTTTAGTGATGTTTGTTCTCTCTGGACGTCCTGACTGCTTCTGAATGCTAGTCTAGTATTTAGTTCAAGCTTGGAAAAAAGACTTGTAGTAGAGTAAGTTATAAATCAGAATGTAGATTTATTGACTGGAAATCTCAGTAAAAATAGTAAACAAGAAATAACTATACTTTTGTTGTTGTTTCTTTGAACGGGTTTATAATCCCTTTCTCATTCTTATGGAGCTTTTTGGTTAAAACTCTAACTTGCTGTCGACGGAGCATTTGATCATTTTCTCACTGATAAGTCAAATGTTCATGTGTCAGAGGTTTATTACATTTTAACATCGTTCACTAAATAAGAGGATGTTATAAGACTGCTGGTTTGCTTCATTAGATTTTTACTGTAATATTTGGCATTTATTGTCAGTACTTTCTACATGTATTTATAATAAATAGATGGAAGCTGAAGGTGAGCTGATCCCAGATTCTGAAAACACAGATCTTCATAACGGTTTATATCCATCCCAACTAATGACTCACATCTTTATATATCTTTAGTTACTATATATAAAACCTTCTCTGATTTATCTCCATTCATCTGCTGTTATCAGAACAATTTTTAAGATGAAAAAAATTTATTGATTCATGTTTTTAACAAACTGGTTCTTTGATGCCTGTTTACATGTTGAAGCTTAATGTTAAACTGATAAAACTCAGATAACCTTGTGTTGTGTTTTCAGTGCTGGCTGCAGCTTGGTATTTCACTCGTGCTGCTGGTAAGTTTTATTTTTTTTACACTAAAGAACGTTGTCTCTGCTCCTCAGCTGGAAACCAGAGTTTGAGCAGAATTTATAGTTTTAGTGTATAGTGTACAGAGTTTGTATGTTATTAAATTACAGCCTTTAAAATAGCAATTTAACTATAACTTCCATGAACATAGAGCACAACTTTACTTTGGTATGTTGTCTTTACTTGAATTGTTCTGTCTCACACAGTCTGACAAACAGATCTACATGCTGTTAAAACTAGAAATGTATGTTGGAGATGTTTGACTCTAAATGCAAAATAAGGACAAAAGCACAAGACTCAAGGAAACACTGATGATTTCACTGCTTGAAGTCTGACTTGTGTGTGTTTGGACAGAGGGAAAGGTCATCTACGCCTGTCTCAATGACACCGCTGAGATGTTATGTGGTAAGAAAACACACTGCTGTCCTTTTGGGAACAGTTCATCCATTTAGTCTTTTGCCACATTTATTGTTTCTCTGATTTCAACCTAATAAAATGTACCTTTTTTAAAACAAAGGTTTTGGGCAAATTATCCCTCGTAAAACAGTTTTTTACACTTTGTTTATGTACAGATTAAACACAAGATACAACATCAGTTAATCTGTGAGCTTTAGAGCTGGTAGGTGGATGTTGTTACCTTTGGACGGAGCCAGGCTAGCCCCCCCCCCCCGTTTTCAGTCTTTATACTACGCTAAGCTTAAAGATGAGAGTGGCATCAATCTGAACATGTAACTGTCGGCCTGAAAGAAACGAAAATATTCTGTTAACCTTGTTGAGACTTTCTGTCCCCACAGTGTCGGTGGGTGAACAGGTTCAGGTCCCCACAGTGTCATATAAAGGGCTTATTAAATCTGCTCTGTGTATCACTGTCACCAAAATCAATAAATGATGAAATAATGGCTGTAACATCCCGTCCAGTAAGAATAACCCATAAGAAGTGGACATCTCAGCCAACCAGTGGCTCATTGGACAAATGTGATCAGCAAATAGAGCAGAGCTCACAGATGTCTGTGAGGACACGCAAGTCACACCATCAAAGTGAACTGGATTAAATCAGTCATTTGTTACAAAACCTAAGCAAAAAGTTTCCAAATGAGATGTGGTGTTGAATCTCCTCCTCCTGCAGATGTTGGCAGAAAGATAAAGCTGCAACACATCCTGTATAAGGTCGGAGTGGGGACCAGGTGTGGGCAGGGAAAAGCCCAACCAGACGACGGACCCGACACCTTCTGCTCCTTCCCCTGGGCTGAGATGGTGGTGGAGGATCTGTAAGAAAACTTCTCCTCATCTTTGGACATTCATTCATTTATTTTTTCCAACTTGAGGAAGAACTCCACAACAAGCTGAGAGATTTTACCAGGAGAAATCAATGATGTGGTTATTACAGGACAAATATAGAGAGAGAGAACCTCATTTAAAATCCCACTGACATTTATAACTACTAACTAAAGCAAATAATTAACGTCTTTCTCAACAGTTTGTTGTGTGGCTTGCTTTATATGTTGTATATTTTTAATATGGACTAATATTGTTTTTTACTTTTCAGTTTTCTAGCAGCCTTTTAAACTCATTCTCATCCCCAAGTTCTCACAAAAGTCTAAAAAAGGGATTGTTGAAGTGGACAGGTAGGCCAGAAACCGGACTCTGACCCATGTGGGAAGAAAATGTGTTTAGTGAAATTACGTTAGTAACTTCAATTTACAAAAGTAAGTTTTTTAACCCTAACAATATATTTTCCTAAACCTAACCTAATTGCACAAACGTTATCCACAAGTTTTATTTTGAAAGTCTGGTAGTAAGTTGCCTGTTTATTATTGCTAACTTGACCATGGATCTCTGCACGTCCAAAAACGATGCTAAAGGGTACCCGGGGCGTTAAAAAGCAACACCAAGGGGTCTTGACAAAGCGTCCATATGTGACAAGTTGTGAGTGAGAATGTGTTGGACTTTTAACGAGCATCATCTCCCATAAGCCCTAGACCTCGACAACAGAGGCGAGTCCATGAGCGAGGCTAGTCTGAGTGGTTAGTCCACACAGCAGGACAGAGAGCACTCAACACTGTGACGTGTTGGTGAGCTTTATGGAGATGCTGCTCATATCATAGGAGCTGTAGTTTTTGTAGTTTCCCTGCAATCACAAAGTAATCTCTGTTAAAATCACTAAGGTTTCATATTGTGGGAGCTGCTGCTGTAGTGGAGCTGATTTGTTGTAGAATATGGAAAGTAAACTCCAGGAACTCAAAACAAAGCAAAACCAGTCACCCAATCTGGTCTTCAGACTCCACAATAGTAAAACTCGGATGTGTGCAGGACTGCAGGCGACCAGCTGCCAGTCCAGGGACTACGGCTGAAGCGTTCAGGTGCAGTCCACCTTCTGACTGTCTCCTCTCTCTGTCTGTCTCCAGCTGTGGTAACAGGAGATCCTGTGAGGTCCCGGTCACTGAGCGGGTGTTTGGCGAATATCCCTGTAAGGAGCAGACCAGGTACCTGGAGGTGTCCTACACCTGCGCCACACCAACACCGCCACCTCCTCCTCCACCACCTCCAACCAAACCTGACTGTACGTACACATGTCACTGGCATAGGCCTGATACATTTCCTAGTCCCTAATCCTCTATCCTTAACCCTTGAACCAGGTCTTAATCCTCCAAACAGCCCCTTAATGAAGTGGAAGTGAGGACAAAGGTCAACATTTTCATAAACCCTCTGACATGAGAAAACTTTATTCTTATCCAATAAGAGACAAAAAGCTCGTAGTGAACTTCACACCTGTGTCACAGTGCACATCTCCACTGTTGCAACCATAATAACTTCCCCATCGTAAATATGAGTGTAACCGGAGCCGACTGCTGCGACGCAGTATTTGATTGTTTCATTGAATAACAGTAGTGGGAGAGGTAAAGTAGTTTTAAAATATTTGTTACAAGTCCTGGAAAATCTTAATTCAGTAAAAGCACAAGTATTATCATAAAATACAGTTACAGTACTAAACGTAAAAGTACTCATAATGCAGAATAATAATATTACTGGACTGGACTAATTATTGCTGCATTCATGTGTTCATCACTTTAATGTTGCAGCCAGGGCCGTAACCAGGGTTTAGAAATTAGTGAGATCCGGATTTTCCATTTTATTTAAATAGAGCCACATTTATGGTAAATCAAACCATAATTACACCTAAACACAACCAAAGTTACAATTATACAATACAGTCACACAAACTAAAGATCTATAATGAAATACACACAAGATTACAGGAGCTGCATTGGTGTGATGGGAGGATCGGCTGTTACAGTATCTTAATAGTCATCTAGGCATAAATCATTCACCCACCCTCCAACTGGGGCGATTTTAGACCATTTTTAGGAGCAGGATGTTTGTTCTCAGTCTAAACTGGGTGAATACATTTACAAAATAATTAACAACTCAGAAATGTATATGTATAAATGTATAATAATACTAGAGTAAAAGTACTTTCAGTTCTTTTAAATCAGGGCTGAAAATGTTCCTGTTTTCCTGCATTTTAATAAATTAAAATTGGAATTATTTATGCAATAATCTATTTTATCTATTTCATTTGATTTTAATCTTTTACTTTGTTTTAATATTTAACAATCAACTTTATTCATCACATACAACGCATGTGAAATTATTGTGCAGCACCTGGAGAACAGTTAGGGGTTCAGGGCCTTGCTCAGGGGCCCCTCCAGCAGTGGTCTGTGCTGGATTTGTGCCGGCAACCCTCCGGTACCCAAGCCAAGTCCTATTTCTTTCTTTTTGTATCATCTTGTGTTTCTTCTAAAGACTTTTCTGTCTTAAAACACTTTGAATCACCTTGTTGTACAAATAAACTTTCTTCCTCTGTCCAAATTAAACTCTTTAAACTCAGCGCCCCCTGGTGGCAAAGTTCAGAACAATAATATTTATATTGTATTTGTTATTTACTTGTCCTGGATATAAAGATCCTGACTCTGGTCCCTGGTTCTGTTTCTCTGCAGGTAAAGAAAAACCAGCCGGTGAAGCCTGACGTTTTAAAAACTGTATTGTTCATCACTGTGGAACAGAACAGCATGAAGATGTTGTCCCGTCACACCTGTTTGTTCTTCACTGTCAAACAAACTTAGAAGCTTCAGCCGGGTTCAGAGAGGAGGCCTGAGTGTTTGGATTCATGTATCTGAATGTGTAAAAGATATTTGGGCTTATTTACTCAAGAAGGATTTTAAGTCTGTGAAATAAAAGTTTTCCTTCAACATTCATTTTTCATCAGCAGATGGAGTTTGTTGTGTGGGAGTTGAAGTTTCTATATTTTATTTATATTATGGACTTCTGATGTACGTTATACAAATTATTTACGTCAATGCACATTATTTATTAATCAGGATTCTGGTGTTTTGTATCGGGATTGTTTTAATTAGTCAATTAGTTTGAAAATGAATGAAAGAAAAGTAGGTAAAGCATAAAAATCCTCCTGCTGATCATTGGAGATCTTTTGATAAACAAACTGAAACTTCTGGGAAGTCAAAATGAGAAGTTTTCAAACATTTTCTATAAAACAGTTTCTGTCCAGCAGAGTCCTTTAATACTCTTATTGTTTCTGTTGTGCAAAAGACATCAGATTGAATCATTGATGTTTGCATAGATCAGTAGTTTGTAAACAGCAGTAAACTACAGGTTAACTTGTTTACGCCATTAGTCAGTTAAAATAATTAATCTGAAGGCATTTTGATGATCGATTCGTCCTCATTTCATTTTTCAGCTTCTCAAATGTTGTAAATGTTTTATATCAAAAAAACCTTTGGGACATTTCAATGTTCAATGTTTTTAGGAACGTGTGATGAGAATTGTTCAATATTTTCTGACATTTTATTGTCTAAACCAGTAATTATCAAATTAATAATGTAAACAATCATTTGACATCTGACAAAAAAACAGTCTCCTTTTTTCCATGAAACATGAAATAGGGGATTTTCATTTGAAACTGTTGTTTTAGTTGAGAAAAGTGTGTCTGCAGGTTTTTGGGTTAAAAAGTAATTAAATCCATATTTTTACAGCTAATATCCTCCATTTATATTTGATCAGAATCACTATTTAAAGAAGAAGCAGTAACACCCGGTCATGCAGGGTCTCTATCAAAGAACCTAAACATGTTAGTAGATTTAAATAGGCCTGCAGATATTTACGTTATATGATCTCATTTGTCCACCGTCTGTGGTCCTGATGTTCACTATGATGAGCTCGTTCAGGCAGCAGATATTTGGTTGATGAGAAATGACTTTACCTTTGAGTTCCCTCGTTCATCCATGTCCTACGTCGTCTACATGGCCTACCCTCTTTGTCTAGAGGACTTTGTCCAGAGCCCTGCAGAGCGTGGAGTCATTACGTTGAGCTTGGGGACGTTGGTGGGGAATCTTCCTGAGGATACAGCAGAACATGTGGGTGCGAGACAAGAGACAAGACAAGAGACGGTCCACTTGGACAACAACACGTTGCTGGACTGGCTTTCACAAAATGACCTCTTAGACCAGAGTATCTGTGGCCAACGGAGACACCAACAGACTTCAGAAGGCCATCCAGCACAGAGTTCCCCTCGTTGGCCTTCCTCTGATGTTTGATAACCTGTTCAGGATGAGAGTGAGGGGCTGGCCGAAGGGCTGGAGATCGGCTCAGTGAACAAAGTAACCCTGCAGTGAAGTTGCAGAAGGGTAAAGTTAAATGATCTTTTTTAGATAACTTTGGCCACACACACACAGGAAGGTGCAGACCGGTGAGAGTTACTACAACTCCATCCAATTCAAACAAGTCACACAGCTCTTGACGAGCTTTATTCCTCATGTGTTTTCAGCTATTTAGCCGTCATCAGAGGTTGTTTCATGTTTCTTTTTATACATAATCAGTTAAATAGTCATGTGACTTTACCAAAGAAAATGTTTCAGTGAGGAATTTGTCATTTTGCTAATAAAAAAACATTATTAAGATTATTTAATATTTATAGGTGGAGAACAAATATGATTTGTATTTTTTTTTTGCCTTTTCGTAAAGACACAAACATTTGACAGATGTAAAGAAACTAGTTTATTAAAAAACAACATATTTACCTACACTGTACGTCTCGCATTTCCTTTATGTTGATGGACGTTGCCATTAATCATTTATATTATTGACCACATATTACTTCAGAAAGACTGGGATTATCTTTTATACTCAGTCATGTTACTAACTTGTTGCCAGTTGACCTGATTAATTGTGAGATGTTCAACTTTTAAAGTCTTTCGTTGACACTTTTTTGAAACGTGTTGCTGGCATCAAATTCAAAATGGGCATCATTTTCCAAAAACAATATATTTTATAAGTTATCTTTGTGCTATTTTCAGTTAAATATGGGCTTTGATGTTTTGCACATCATCACATTTTGTTTTTATTTACATTTCATGTCGTGTGCGTCTTTATTTGGAGACAGGGTTGTAATTTGTTCCCTCTTTTCCCTGTTCAGGGTCACAGGAGGACTTCAGTCTGTCCCATCATACGATTGGAATGATAATATGTGATTAACGTAACTTAACAAAATAACCAAATGAAAAATAACAAAAAAAAAATCATATGTTTTCTGTCAATGTCTTAAAGGTGTTTTATTTATAAATGTAAATTTGACAATTTGCCAATGAAATCAATCTGTCAAAGTCTGTATTGTTGAGAAGCAAAAAAGAAAATGAAGCAGCACTACTTCTGCCTCTAATCTGAATAAACTGATTCCCTAATCAGTAAAATATGAAACTCCCATAAAACTACATTAATTTAATAAGTCAGTAAAGGCAGGTTTGGACCCAAGAGCAAAAACAACAGACCAGGCAGTAAGATGTTTTTTTAACTTGTCTAAAAAATTGGCAGGAGTCATGAAATCAGTCAGGTAAACAAAGAACGACAGACTTCACCAGGCAGGCACAAGGTAAAGAGCCAGGGATATAAGTCCCAGGCAGGAAATGCTGCTGACAGGTGAGTGAGTCAGTGTAGCAGGGAGACGAGCAGACTGAGAGAAAATAATGACCAGAATCAAGTTGGGTGTTGTGACTTTTTATCAGTTTGTTTCTGTAGATCTGCATTTACTAGTATTCTTTTAGCAGTTACACTTCCTGGAGCACACACAAAAACAAAAGTAACAGATTACATGATGTTTATTTAGACAACAAAAGTTCAAATTCAATCAGAGCCAGAAAACATTTTGATTCTCTGAGAGTAAAGTGTTTACAAACTGAAATTACATCATCAAGACTGAAATAACTCTTCAGACCGAACCCAGAAACTACTGATGATTATAAAAAGGTTAAAGAATCCCACAACAGGAAGCAACGTGTTGGTATAGTTATAGTAGAGATTTGACATGTTATATTGTGAGAGTTTAATTAACCTCAAACAGTCTGAAAGTAAAAGTTGGAACAATAAACTTACATTCAGACATGACAGATTTTGATATCAGAGGTTTCAGCATCACCAGCTGCACCAATACCGAAATATGGGAAGAGTTTCTCAGTGAAAGTGTCTCTGTGAGTGCAGATGTGAGTCATGTCTTCAGGGTTGTAGAAGGACACCTTCCTCTTGTCATAGTCCAGCTGGACTCTGATCCTCTGGAGACTCTTCTTCACTCTGACAGTCTTACCATCTCCATCAGTGTATTTTCCACTGCGATGCCTTAAACACCAGAATCCATATTTTGGTGAGACAAATGTCTCTCCCTTCCTGTCAACTGACTCTTTAGCCAAACCTACAATCCAGACAGGATGGTCTCCCACCTCCACCTCCCAGCTGTGTTTCCCTGAGCTGAAGCCCTCAGAGCCCAGAACTTCTACACACTTAGTGAATCTCTCTGGATTGTCAGGAAGCTGCTGCTTTGTGTCTCCCTGTCTCACACTGGTCAGATCATCAGACAGATAGAGCCAGCAGTTTGCAGTGTTTGGGTCCAGAATGACAGGACTGAAGTGGACCTTGTCCTTCATCTTCTCCCAGACTCTGAAGGACAGGTTGCCCAGGTGTTTGGCCACATCTATCAGCGCTCCTGAGAGCAGCTGTGGATCTGACAGTGAGCGCTGGACTCTGGCTCTGGTCTGAGTGGCTTTATAACTGCTGAGGAATGGCACGCTGGGTTTCTGCAGCTCTTCTTCAACAGCAGAGATCCTGTCTGACAGAGAGGACATCTGCTCCTGAATCTTCTTCATCTCTCTGCTCACAGTCTTCCTCCTTCTGCTCCTCTTCCTCCCTCAGAGCTGCCAGTCTGGACTCCTCTTCCTCTTTCAGGAACTGGTGGAGCTTGTTGAACTCTGCTCTGATCTGCCTCTCTGTGGACAACAGCTGCTTCTTGGACTGTTGAATCACTTCATTGTATGTTTCCTCCACTTGTTTGTATTTGTCCCTCTTGTCCTGCAGAGACTCTAAGTCAGATTTCAGCTGCTCCTTCAGGTCCCGGACTGCTTGTTCTACAGGAACCACCTTGTGACTCTGGTGGAGAGAAAACTCACAGACAGGACACACAGCTCTCTGCTCGTCTTTACAGAACCAATGTGGGAGGTCTGTATGTTTTTCACACAAGGCCTCCACCTTCTCTTCTTTTTCTGTCTCAGATGATCCAGTTTTCTGTCTCCCAGCAAAGGAGTCAGCCAGTTCCTTCAGTGTAAAGTTCACAAATAGATCATCCTTTGATGATTTTCTTTTACAAATGGGACAGTTTTTGTTTCCAGCTTGTTCCCAGAATTTCTGCAGGCAGCTTGAACAGAAGCTGTGGTTGCAGCTCAGAGACACAGGATCTCTGAAAGTCTCTGAACACACGTGGCAGTTCAGGTGACTTTCAACAAGAGTTATTTTCTTAGCCATTTGATACTGAAGTTATTTTTCCACAGACTCACAGAGTGAACGTCTCTTCCCTTGATTGTTTCAAATACTCCAAACGTGTGTTTTCCAGCAGAGATCTCTCACCCTGTGATGGCGTCTCAGCTCTGTTCAACAATGTCCAAATCTACTGTCAGTTTAACTTTCACACTCTCAGTCTATGATCTCTCCTCTGTCACGGGCTGAATGAACAGCAGGAAGTGTTGCCATGTCATCTTCTCACCAGCAGATGGCGCAGTCAGGATGTCTGTCAGAGTCAGTACAGGACAGTTTCCATGTACAGGTGTCTGTAGGAAGACAAACACGAAACGAAAATTGGGTAAAAAAATTGTCTGTAATTTTCTTTCAAATGCTCAAAAAATGCAAAACTGTGTTCATTGAA